TAGAGCGTCGGCCTGCGGACTGAAGGGTCCCGGGGTTGATTTCGGTCAAGGGCATGTACCTTGGTTGCGGGCACATCCCCAGTAGGGGGTGTGTAGGAGGCAGCTGATTGATGTTTCTCATCGATATTTCTGACTCTATCCCTCTCCCTTCCTCTCTGTAAAAAATCAATAAAATATATTTAAAAAAAAGAAAGGGGAAGACATTTAAAAAAAAAAAAATGAGAGAGCATCATTGATTGGCTGCCTTCTGCACACTCCACAATGAGGATTGAGCCCACAACCTGGGCATGTGCCCTGACTGGGAATCGAAGCTCAACCACTGAGCTTCGCCAGCTGGGCTAACACAATTTTTTCTTAAAGGTCCAGGTAGTTTTTAAAGCTGAGGGTGGAGGAGTGAAACCTTGGGTTTTGGGTATTTCTTCCCACGAAGGCAGTTGGGCCATGGGGTCCTCTGGAGGCCTTTGTGGGCAAAGATGGGCCCCGTGTCTCTGGTCTGCTCATGGCTGGAGGCAGAAGCTGCGCAGGCTGAGAGGCCCAGGGCAGGCAGCTGGGCAGGGGTGTGTGGGTCTGACGGATTTGTTGGGTGGCCCTTAGGCTGAGCTCCTCGCCACTGGTCATAAAGCCCAGCCCAGCCAGGACCCTCCTGCTTTATATCGCTACTCCCTCTCACTGGCCGGATGCCCTCGCTGAGGCAACCCCTGAGGGCACTGATCTTGCTGTGGGTTCTTGGTTGGCCTGGCATGGTTCTCTTGGCCTGTGCAGATGCCATGGTCAAGGCTGGTGTCCATGCTCACTGGGTGTGTACATTCTAGGGCAGTGATGGCGAACCTATGACACGCGAACTCATTTTTTTGGTTGATTTTTCTTTGTTAAATGGCATTTAAATATATAAAATAAATATCAAAAATATAAGTCTTTGTTTTACTATGGTTGCAAATATAAAAAAATTTCTATATGTCTCACGGCACCAGAGTTAAGTTAGGGTTTTTCAAAATGCTGACACGCCGAGCTCAAAAGGTTCGCCATCACTGTTCTAGGGAGATGTTGAAGTAGCTGAGGCTGAGGCCCGTCTGACACTCTGTCTGACCCCAGAGCCTGGCCCATAGTAGATGCTGGTTCATAGTGATGAGTGAACAGGCCTTGGGAAAACAAAAGCTTAGCGATTCAGGGACAGTCCCTGGGGTTAGGGAGCTTCGCCCTGAGTGTTGTGGGCCTCCCTGCTCAGAGATCAGCTGATCTGGGGAGGTCTACAGTGTATCTCATTCAGCAACTATTTACTCAGTGCCTGCTTAGGTGATATTTATTTATTTATTTAAAAATTATATGTATATTCTTAATCACCCGAGGATATTTCTCCATTGATATTTATTATTATTTTAAAATATATTTTTTTGCTGTAACCGGTTTGGCTCAGTGGATAGAGCGTCGGCCTGTGGACTGAAAGGTACCAGGTTCGATTCTGGTCAAGGGCATGTACCTGGGTTGCGGGCACATCCCCAGTAGGGGGTGTGCAGGAGGCAGCTGATCGATGTTTCTCTCTCATCGATGTTTCTGACTCTATCCCTCTCCCTTCCTCTCTGTAAAAAATCAATAAAATATATTAAAAAATATATATATATATATTTATTGATTTCAGAGAGGAAGGGAGAGGGAGAGATAGACACATCAATGATGAGAGAGAAGCATCGATAGCTGCCTCTTGCACACCCCCTACTGGGGATCAAGCCTGCAACCTAGCCCTGATTAGTAATCAAATCAGTCCTTTTGGTTCCTGGGTTGATGCTTAACTGCTGAGCCACACCCGGCTGGGCTCCATTGATTTTTAGAAAGATTGGAAGAGAGAGAGTGAAAGACAAATTATAAATGTGAGAGAAACACATTGGTTGCCTCCTGCATGAGCCCCAACCAGAGCCTGGGCCAGGGAGGAGCCTGCAACCGAGGTATGTGTCCTTGACCGGAATCGAACCTGGGACCCTTCAGTCTGCAGGCCAACATCCACTGAGCCAAACCACCTAGGGCTAAAATATACTTTTGTTGATTTCAGAGAAGAAGGGAGAGGGAGAGAGAGAGAAATATCAGTGATGAGAGAGAATCATTGATCGGCTGCCTCCTGCACGCCCCACACTGAGGATCTGGCCTGCAACCCGGGCATGCACCCCTACAGGGAATCGAACCATGACTTCCTAGTTCATAGGTCGATGCTCAACCACTGAGCCATGCTGGCCAGGCTGCTTAAGTGATTTTAAAACAAATTTGAGACATTGTATCATTTCATGCTTAAATACTTAAGTTTGAAAAATAAGGGCTTAAAAAAATAGTTATCACAATACTATTCTAACTACTCTAACATCTAAAAAATTAAGAATTCCTTAATATTATTGACTGTCCAGCCAGTGATCAAATTTCCAGAACGCTGTCATAATTATTTTTATATAGTTTTCAAATCAAGATTTTTAAAAAGTCCACACAAATAGGTAGTTGATAATCTCTAAGTCTCTTAATCTAGAAGTCTTCCTCCCCGCCTTTTTGCAGTTTATTTGTTGGGACTTATTTGGACAGGCTCCTGGCTACCTGTAGGGAGTTGGTGGGGTAGGGGAGTAGCAGGAGTTTGTTGCAATATCCCAGGCGACAGTGTGAGGGACGTGGCAGTGTCTGCAGTGGAGGAGGAGGCCAGGGCAATGTTGCCAGTGGTGGCCTGGGGCTGATGAGGCAGCTACCTCTGAGGAAGGCCATGTGGGGATTGGAGGAGGGGGGTAAGCAGCTGGCCGGCCACTGGGCCCCACTCTGGGCATACTGAGGCAGGCTTCTGCCTTCTCCCGTTCTCTGACCTTGGGCCTTTCTCTGGTCTCTGCATGCCTCCTCCCTAGAGAAGTACCACTGTCCAGTGCTGTATACCGTGTTCACCAACAACACCCACATCGTGGCCATCAGGACCACCGGCAATGTCTATGCCTACGAGGTAGGTTCTCGGGAACTGTGTCCCCTACCCGCTCTTTAGGGGTCTGCTCCTGGGAACCCTGGCTTGGGCTTGGGGATGGCACAGCCTTTCCCTGTGGGGCCGACACTCTGAGAGCTATCAGCACAGCCTAGAAAAGGCAGGCCTTCCTGTGGCCACTGGACCTGACCTCTGGGAAGTTCTTTTGTACCCAGGGGTCTTCCCCACCGTCGTCTTCAGCAGACTCTTACTGGTCAGGCCCTGGGAGGGACCCTGTGCTCTGAGGGCACTCCAGGGCTTCGAGGGGGTCTTGAGCCCCCCAGTTCCTGGCGGAGTCCCCAAGAGGAGCAGATGTGGCTGGTGGGCAGGTGTGGAGAGAGGAGGCCCTGGTTTTCCCACCTGTCCTCCAGGTGTGCCAGCAGAGTACAGACGGCAGGGCTGTGGGCTCCACGTAGCAGGGAGGCCTCTCAGCTGTTTTCATGCCTGTCCCTGGCCGCTGGCAGGGTTCAGGTGGCCAGCGTGGCTCTAGAGGCTCTGGGGGTGACATCTTGCCCGAGTGCATGGATTTCAGGGGCTTGGTACAGATGGGCAGCCTCGCTGAACCTGTTCGCTGATGTGTAAGACCTGTCACGAGAGAGTCCTGTGAGGAACCTTGCTCAGAGGGTAGTCTTCAAGTTTCTGGGGCTCAACAAGCTTCTCCCTCAGGGGCAGGGCCATGGCTCTGAGCCCGTGGGGCGCGCCTGGTAGTTCTGTCCTTTTCCTCACGCTGGATGGTGCCGTTGTCCGGGCGGGCTGGGGCAGGCATGGTAACAGCCGCTTCCTCCTGGCCACAGGCAGTGGAGCAGCTCAATATCAAGGCCAAGAACTTCCGAGACCTGCTGACGGACGAGCCCTTCTCCCGGCAGGACATCATCACCCTCCAGGTGCGGTCCCTTCCCCTGTGCTCTCGGGAGGGGCCTCCAGAACCTTGGCACAGCTGCCCTCTGCCAGCCCCACCTCTCCACCCAGGGTCAGTGGCTTCCTCCTTGCTACCTGTCTGGTTGAGGTTCCCCAGCTGCCACTGACAGTGCCCCCACCTCCTGCCCTCCTTACACTCGGTCACATGGGCCTCGCACACACCGCTTCCTCAGTCTGGTTCCCACATCTCCTCTGATGCCTGTCCCTGCTGTCAGGGCCCCCCAGAGCCATCTCGGCACAGAGTGGCCTCTTTGCAGGCCTGGCTCTCCACCCGCCCTCTTGAGAGTGGGGGCAGGTGTGTGCTCAGCATTGGGCACAGGGCACCCCTGTGGTGTCAGAGAATCCTGGGTGAATTCATGAAAAACACGGACTTAGAAAGTGTTTTAGGAGTGACTTAGAGGGGGACGATCGCTTCTGTGGCTTGTCCCATTCTAATTGGAGGTCAGTACACATTCCTTCCAAGGGAGGGGGCTCGCCGTCCCCAGGGCCCGAGCTCTGTGGGGTCTGTGACTGGCAGCCAAGCTGAAGGGAGTACGGGGCAGCCTGTGGGAGGCCTGGAGGTGGGCACGGCATATCTGCTCACCTTCCTTCGAGAAGACCCATCCGTCTTGTGGCTGCCTCACAGCAAGGGATGCTTGTCGGCCTTGTGCCAGAGAGATGCAGTTTGGGGAGCAGCCAGCCATTTGTTCCAGTCCCCCCCCCTCCCCCCCGCTCGTGGCCCTGCCCGGGGCAGAGCCCTCTCCCTGGCTCCCTTGTTCTCTGCTCGACCCCCAGGCTTCTGTGCAGCCACAGGCCTCTCCCCTCCTGGCCCCAGGACCCTCATGCCACTCACCTGTCCTTTGCTGCCCGCGGCAGCCACATGGCCACAGCCCGGGACCCGGCTGGACTCACTCCGCTGCACGTTCTTTTTGCCCTAGGACCCTACAAATTTGGACAAATTCAACGTCTCCAACTTCTTTCATGTGAAGAATAACATGAAAATAACCGACCCAGGTATGAACATCCAGGGGTGGTCTGGGTGCCAGGGGTTGGGGAAAATAGTCCATGCTCCCTGGCCAAAGCCCCCACCCTCCTGGGATCAGAGTCTTGATCGAGCTGAGGCAAGTTTGGAATTTCTCAAGCTGGCGTTCAGCTTCTCCTGCGCTGAGATTGGCAGAATCACCCTGGCCCAGGCCTGCCCACAGGGCCTGATTGGTGGGTGCCAGCCAGGCCTTAGGCCTGAGTGCCCACAGCCTCCTGGTCCTCCCCTCTCAAGACTTAGCTCCAGGGCCTTCGGGCTGCTTTCTCGGCCAGGCCCTCAGGTGCCTGGATGGGGCCGTCTTTGCTCCTTAGAAGTTGTCTCTGTTCTCACTACAGGGACAGGAGGTTAGGCAGGTAGGTGGGTACTGCTCAGCTAGCTGGTCACCACCACTGTGGTGCTGTGGTTTGGGGCTGTGTCTGAACTCTGTTGGGACCAAGGCTGGGTCAGGGCCAGAGACCATAGCCGACTCCAGCAGAAGCCGTGGTGGGGGGCGCTGCCCTTCTGGGCTGTTCCTTCACTCTCTCCCTACACTACCTCCCTGGGTTTGCAGCGACTACGAAGATGTCACTGTGATGGAGGCTTGGCCTGTGTCCTGGTCCGGGACCTGTTGGGGTAGCCAGCTCTGGCCTTTTTTCCCATCATGCACATCTGGGGACATTCCTGGGGCTCAGCTGCTCAGGCCACCATGCTGTTTTATAGATGAAGAAAAGGCCAAACAGGACCCATCTTATTATTTGAAAAATACCAATGCCGAGACCCGAGAAACACTGCAGGAGCTCTACAAGGAGTTCAAGGGGGATGAGGTCCTGGCGGCCACCATGAAAGCCCCAGAGAAGAAGAAGGTGGACAAGCTGAATGCGGTGAGTAGGTGGCGGGGCGCGCAGCTGCCAGCTCAAGCCACCCGCCCATCAGAGCGCCTAGGAGTGGTTCTGGGATACAGTCGGAGGGGAAGCAGCTGGGACCCCCGAGCCAAGGCGCCCCTGGGGGGCCCAGAGGACAGCGGCACTGAGGAGCTGGGGCTGACAGCTGTGCTGGGAGCCGCGCAGGGAAGGTGGCCCCCAGCCATGTAGGGTCTATTTCTTTTTTTATATATATTTTTATTGATTTCAGCAAGGAAGGGAGAGAGATAGAAACATCAGTGATGAGAGAGAATCATTGGTCAGCTGCCTCCTGCATGCCCCCTACTGGGGACAGACCCCACAACTTGGGTATGCGCCCTTGACCGGAATCGAACCTAGGACCCTTCAGTCCGCAGGCCGACACTCCATCCACTGAGCCAAACCAGCCAGGGCCATGTAGGATCTATTTCATGCTCTGGCCCAAGCTGGGGAGCCTGGGACAGACATGCTCGGTGGACAGTGCCTGGGGGCTTTGGTGGTACCACGTGACACAGTGGCCTCAGGCATGCAGGTCTGTGGGAGGGGATGTCCCGTGGGGTGCAGAGTCACTGCCCTGCAGAGCTGGTCACTTGGTGCCCAGAGCAAACCCAGGGAGAGAAGGCGGGGTGCTTCAGGGGTCCCGCAGTGCTGAGGGAGGGACAAGTGGTGCGGTGCCCGCCCCTCCTGGGCAGTCAGGTTTGCTTCTTACAATACCCGGTAGTTGGCTCTGAGGTCCTCTCTTGGCAGTGATGGCACCAGGATTTGTGCCCTGGTCTGTCAGGCCCCAAAGCTGCCCCTTCCCCTCTTCATTTTGGAGAGCTGGGGCTGTGGCGGTGGGGCTCTGAGGCTCCCACCTTAAAGAAATATTCAGGAAAATTTGCAAAAGAAAAGTTTGTTGTTCATAATTCCAGCACTCTCACACAAGCTCTTAGCATTTTGGTGTACTTCCTTCTGATGAAAGTAAAAATCCCTCTTTTTATTTTTCCCTTCTGCCTAGGATGAAAAAATATTTATTGGGGCTTATGTTTTCCTGATTAAAAATATGTGTTTATTGTAGACACTGAAAACTATTTTTTAAAACATTTTTATTGATTTTAGAGAAGAAGGGAGAGGGAAAGAGAAACATCAGTGATGAGAGAGAATCATTGATTGGCTGCCTCCTGCACACCTCCTGCTGGGGATCAAGCCCACAATCCAGGCATGTGCCCTTGATCAGAATCGAACCTGGACCCTTCAGTCTGCACGCTGACGCTCTATCCACTGAGCCAGACCGGCTTGGGCGACACTGAAAACTTCTAAAGGAAAATAGTCCCTTGTTCCTTGGGGCCTTAGGGAAAGGCCAGTTCGGGCTGGGCCACCCTGTCCCCAGGAGGTTCCTGGTGTATCTTTGGGTGGTGGCGACGGACGCCTTCCTGTAGGAGAGGCACGAGCAGGGGCCTCAGCTGCTCCCATGTCCTCAGCCTCCGGGCCTCCCAGGCGCTGCTGACGCGCCCACATGGTTTTCTCCGCAGGCCCACTATTCCACTGGGAAGGTGAGCGCCTCCTTCACCTCCACCGCCATGGTTCCAGAGACCACCCACGAAGCAGGTAGCTGCCTCCCCTCCTCTGTCACCAGTGCTGCCTCATGATGGCCGAGGCGGGTGCCCTGCCTCCCTGTCCTCAGCATCGCTCCGTGGCGTCTAGGTTTTGTGGGCTTTTAGCTCAGGAATGGTCAGGGGACGGGCCCTTTTGAAGGTGTGTTTGCGTCTGCAGTGGGGGTGCTGTAGTCAGAGCTAGGCCTGCAGCAGGAACCTCCCCATGCCCTGTCCTGCCTGTGAGGGAGCCCCACCTTTTCCTCTTCCCAGGCTGCCCGTGGGCATCTTAGCCCTCCAACCAAGCTCTCTTCCTCTTGTATTTTCAGCAGGTCAGGCCCCCAACCCTCTCGTCTCCACCCCCCTCCCGCCCTGGGTCCAGGCCTTCCCAGCGTCCCTGCCTTAACTGCTAAGCCCTCCCCGTGCTCAGCCAGGGCACACCCTCGAGCTTTCCTTGGAACTTGGAATTTTCCAGGCCTTGTGCCTGGTGTGGGGTGCGGGTCTTCAGGGCGAGGGCAGGCACAGAGCTTGGGCCTCTGCTTGATTGCAGCCGCCATTGACGAGGACGTGCTGCGCTACCAGTTTGTGAAGAAGAAGGGCTACGTGCGGCTGCACACCAACAGGGGCGACCTCAACCTGGAGCTGCACTGCGACATGGTGGGTGTGGCAGCCGTCCCCTCCCCTGCCCAGGGTCGTCCCAGGTCTGAAGCATGGAGCTGCACCCTGGGTGTGTCGTAGTGGAGAATTCTGTCCTCTAGGGGTGTGCCCACTGCCCTCCCCAGAAGGGACCCGTCAGCGTGTGCTGCGTTTCCTTGGCCCACCTGGGCGGTGAACACACACCCGACACACACACACACACACACACCATGCACAGCACACAGACACACCACGCACACACACACCACGCACAGCACACACACATACACACACACACACACACACACACACACACACACACACACCACACACACCATGCACAGCACACACACACACCACACACAGCACACACACAGACCACCCCCACCCCCGCTGCTCTGCTGGCATCTCCCTGTGGCCCTCGCTCTCAGGCTGGGCGGCTTGGACCTTACTGTGTTCACGCTGGGAAGCTAACCCTCTTCCACTGCGTGGTCAGGGCTTGGGTGGCATTGGTGACCCCCCCCCCCATTGGCTGCTTCATGCCTCACGGAAGTATCTGGGTTATTTTGCAGACACCAAAAACCTGCGAAAACTTCATCAAGCTCTGCAAGAAGCAGTATTACGATGGTACCATCTTCCACAGGTCCATCCGGAATTTTGTGGTAAGTGACCTGGGTCAATGCTGGCCTCTGGGGCCAGATGCCTCCTAGAGGTGACTTCTGCCATATGTAGGAGCCCCTTCTCAGGGGCAGGGAAACAGCAGACTCACCCCTTGAGCACCCAGCCTGGCCACACTGGGCTTGTGCAGAGACGGGCCCTGGGAGGGCCTCTGTCCTCACCAAGAGCTCAGACCCCTCTATGTCCATCTGGCCGGTGGGGAGTTGCTTCCTGTTGTGGGCAGTGGGGGCTGTGGAAGGGCCGGCAGGGCTGCAGGCATGGCTTGCTCACTGGCTTTTGTTCTTGCAGATCCAGGGAGGTGACCCCACTGGCACAGGCACAGGTAGGTACTGGTGCTGGGCTTCCCTGGGCAGCTTTGGCTGCCCCATCGGCCGTGAGGGGTTAGGTGGGGTGGGACATGGCTGAGTTCCAGATGTGGCGTTAGGTGATCTTGGGCACGTCCCTATTTTCTCATTTTGAGATGGAGGGGAGCATATTGCCTCCTCCACAGGCCTCTGGGCACCCATCTTTTTTTTTTTTTTTTAAATATTTTATTTTTTACAGAGAAGGGAGAGGGATAGAGAGTTAGAAACATCCATCAGCTGCCTCCTACACATCCCCCTACTGGGGATTTGCCCGCAACCAAGGTACATGCCCTTAACTGGAATCGAACCTGGGACCCTTTGGTCCGAAGGCCGACGCTCTATCCACCAAGCCAAACCGGTCAGGGCCGGGCACCCATCTGTCAGTGGACAAGGGATGCTTCAGGGGCCACAGCAGAGGGAGGTTATCCCCCCCAGTCCCAGATGTCTGGCTGCTCTCCCAAAGCTCCCACCCCCCAGCTTGTCAGCTGCTGGGGCCCAGGCCCACTCCCTCGCCCGTGTGGGTAAGCAGTAACGGCATGTGGCCTTCACCCTTTACTTCATTCTCAGGGCCGGACCCCACGTAGGGGCTTCAAGGGCCCTGGGGGCTGGTGATGAGGGGCCCTCAGGGCCAGGGCTGCCCTCCAAGGTGCCCCTGCCCCAGACCAGTCCCGGCAGTGCCCATTGCCCCTGAGACTCAGCATAGATTTCTGGAGCTGGGCTGCGTCCTGCTGGCTGCACTCAGCTAGGCCCCAGCCGTTCTTGCTGCCAACCATGCTCCTTTCTCTTCCAGGTGGGGAGTCTTACTGGGGAAAACCCTTCAAAGATGAGTTCCGGCCCAACCTCTCGCACACGGGCCGGGGCATCCTCAGCATGGCCAACTCGGGGCCCAACACCAACAAGTCTCAGTTGTGAGTTGCTGGGTGGCTAGGGGAGGGGCCGGGGAGGTGGCTCGGGCTCCCTGCAGGTCCCCCCTCAGCCTCGCCCTGAATCCAACCAGGAAGGTGTGCAGCACTTCACTGGGGAGATGGTGGCCTGCTCACGGGCACCTTAGCCTTCCACTAACATTGTCCCCAAGCCTCTGGGGAGTGGCTTCGTGCACTGTAACCAGCCTTGGAACACTTTTTGCCTTCATGTCTTGTCTGATCTCTTCTTCCATCTTTTACTTTTAACCTTTCAGCTTGTTGAAGTTTTAAGGCTTTTTAAGGCACACACCTAGATATTGGTTTAATTCAACCTGAGAATCTTAAGTACGTACTTTACTTTCCAGTTATACTGCTAATATCTTTGTGCTTTCTGATGAACCTTTTAAAATATTTTTATTTCTTCCTCTCCCCTTTCTCCTGGTTTGGAAGTTAGATGTTTTACTTCTAGCCTTAAATCAGGTATATCTATTTAAAGTCTAAAGTTATTAGTTCATATCTCCTCACTCCCAGACAAGACCCTTCTAGTCACCCCCCCACCATCCATGTTAGTGTAGTTGGGAATTTAATTCCACCCATTAAAAACATTTTTTTAAACCCATTTGTTGATTTTAGAGAGAGGAAGAGAGGGGGGAAGAGAGAAACAGATTTGTTGTTCCATTTGTCTATGCATTCATTGGTTGATTCTTGTAAGTACCCTGAAATTGAACTGGCAACCCTGATTATATCAGGATGATGCTCTAACCAACTAGAAACCCAGCCAGGGCCTAATTCCACCCATTTTTAAAAAATTATCTTTATTATTGACAGTGTTACAGATGTCCCCTTTTTAATTCCACCCATTTTTATGCCACATGGGAAGTGAGCTGTTCTAGGTCAGTGTTGCTGTACGTGCACCTGCGTCTCTGTCTTGACTTCCTGTCCTGCTCGTTGCCCCTTCCTGCTGGTTCAGAGTCCTTGGTCCTTTAGTCTCTTGGTGGATGGGCTCTGGTCTTCTACTTGCGCCGTCTCCAGGGCAGCCTCTGCCTCTGGGCTCTGGACAGAGTGCCTGGCGGGAGGTTGGCAGTGGCCGGGCCTGAGCCTCCGCTGCCCCTTCTGGCGGCCGTGCACTGGGATTCCTCCCGAGTGGCCAGAGGCCCCAGTCGCCTGGTGGCACCTTGGTTGACAGCCTGCCCCAGGCAGGCAGGTAAGGGGCTGTGCACACAGTGAGCAGGCATGGGGCAGGGTGTGTGTGTGTGGCCTGGTTTGTGCCCAGCGGCCTTGGGAAGCTCTCACTCCTCCTGACCTCCGTTCTCCTTCCCAGCTTTATCACCTTCCGCTCCTGCGCTTACCTCGACAAGAAGCACACCATCTTCGGGCGGTAAGAGAAGTTGCTGCGTGAGGTCGGGGTGTTGGGAGGGCGGGCTCCTTCCCCAGCTGGAGCCTCTCGCTGCCTTTTCCCGCGGCCTGGCCCTGCCGAGGTCGCAGCCGTGCAGGACTGGGACTTGGGGCTTCTGTGTTGGGCAGGGGACCTTGGTTAAGAAGAGCGCAGCTGCAGCCCTGCCTGATGGCTGTCCTGCCCGGTCAGCCCCTCGGGTTCTCCTTTGGAGACCCCGAATTACAGGTCTGGGCACCTCCTTCTCTCCATCCTGGGAAGGCCCAGGGGAATTTCCAGCTCTGTGGCCTTACGGTCTCTGTCTCACTCCTCAGCTTTGTGGTTGTAGCAGAGCAGCCACAGTGTGGAAGCAGCGGGGCAGTGTCCTAATAAAGCCTCACCTCTCAGGCCCCCGTCCTGGCCCACAGTCCTGTGCTGGCCCGCGGGTCTTCCTGAATCTGTCTGCGCCCTCGCCTGTGAGACCGGCGTGGGCCTGCAGCCCCTCTTCCTGGCATGCTCTGGGGACTTGGCCTTTGGGGTGCCCTGAGCAGGGCATATTCAGAGGCACCCTTCCCTCTTCTGCAGGGTTGTTGGGGGCTTTGACACACTAACAGCCATGGAGAATGTGGAGAGTGACCCCAAAACTGACCGCCCTAAGGTATGTGCCCCAGGAGAACAGAGGGGCTGCTCAGGCTCAGCCGGGCAGTTGTGGGGTCCTGTCTCCTGCCAGCCCTGCTCACGGCTCCCTCTGCTGTAGGAGGAGATCCGCATCGACTCCACCACGGTGTTTGTGGACCCCTACGAGGAGGCTGATGTTCAGGTGAGGAGTGTCTGGCCACATGGGGAGGGCTTCGGGGAGTCCTATCCAGCCCGAGGGGCTCTGGGTCAGCCACATCCCTGCTCCACCACAGATCGCCGAGGAGCGGAAGAAGACACAGCTCGCCGAGGCAGCCCCCGAGAGCACAGTGAAGAAAAGCCAGTCCAAGTCAGGGAGCCAGGGCCCCCCAACCTACCGCCAGGGGGTGGGCAAGTACATCAACCCTGCAGCCACGTGAGTGGGGTGGGAGCTGGTGTCCGTTCCCAGGGTGCGTCCATGTGCTTACCGATCCGGGATTGAGCAGTGACGGGAGCTGGGAGGCTCGGTGCAGCTGAAGGGTCAGACGCGGGTGGGGGTGATGTGGAACGCCTGGCCCCCACAGCAGCTGGTGCCCGGCTCTTCTCTCCCCAGGAAACGTGCAGCTGATGAGGAACCATCCACCAGCGCAGCTGTCCCCGTGGCCAAGAAGAAGCCCAGTGGAGGTTTCAAGGACTTCAGCGCGTGGTAGCAGCAGGCCTGCTGCTCGGACCCAGGTAGGGACGCGGTGCTGGTTTCCACACCCTGAGGTTTCTGCCCGCCCACGCCAGCCCTTGCCTGTTGCTTGGGTTCCCTTTCCTGTCCCAGGAGCCCATGGGCCTCCTCCTCCCTCACCCAATGCAGTGTCCTGGCCCCAGCCAGAGCCCACGTCTGGGACCTCTGGGTCTGGGTCTGGGTCGGGGAAGAAGAGCTGTTGTCTTCTGTCCCAGTTTTCTTACCATCACCTCCCACTTCCGTCATCTTCTTGGGACTATTTTTACTCCATGTGGCCTCCCGACCAGCGGCCTCACCCCGAACCTTGTTAGAGTCTGACCCGGAGGCGGGGCTCTGAGGTCTGTGTCCACAGGGGCTTCTGATGCCAGTGATTTGAGGACCCTGGACTAGAACCTAGATGTTACTTCCAAAAACCTTTCTGCCCCCTCTTGCTTGGGTTTGCTGGGTCCAGCTCAGCAAGGACCATGGGCAGTCACAGCCATGCCCAAGGCACGCCTGCTCTGGGTTCTACCCCAGGACTGCCCACCTGCTGTCTCAGGCTGGTGACAAGACCACACCTGGGTGAGGGCAGCTGGCTCCTGTTGGACGTGCAGAAGGCCCCAGCCAGCTAGTGTGCGCGTGCCCTCACCTCCTTCCACCCTCAGGGCCCATCCTTGTACTCAAACCCGGCCACCAGTCCCAGCTCTTAGGACTTTCGGGCAGCCACACCAGCATTTCCTAACTTAAGGGTCCCTTCCCTGACCCTGTTTTTCCAAAAAGCTTCCTCTTCCCCACCCACCCTTGTTTTCTGTTCCTTCTGCAGCCTGTGCCCGCCCGGCTTCCCTTCTCCTGACCTTGACACTACCTCAGCTCTCCTGAAGTGCCTGCAGAAGCCGCGGACAGCTGCCTCCTCCCGGGAGCTGTCTCCTCTACCCTGGGGCTCTAAAAGATCCCTGTTCCCCTCACACCTCTTCTCAACGCCAAGATCCTTGGGTCGGCACAGCCCACCACCTCCTCCCGCTCAACACGCTGAATTCTAACTCCGTTTCATCCTTGGTTTCTCACCCCAAACCTCAATTCTGTCAGTAAGTCTCGACAGTTCTTCCAGAATGCACCTGGCTCTTCTCCCAGCGCTGATGCTCAACACCAGGCCCAAGCCCGGTGTCTCACCTGCCTCCTCCTCGCCCTCGTGCACGGCCACACCGACGCTGAGTCACCGTCCCACAGCTGCTGACCTGACAGTGGCTCTCCACTGTGCCCATCAGCTGTCTAGCTCCTCTGCACCTTTAGTCACAGTGGTCCCTCGCTTCTTCATGACCCCTTCACGCTACCCTCCAAGCTACAGATGTCTGCGAACTCACTCGGGAAAGGCTGTTTGCGCCAGCGAGGTCTCTCCAAGAGCCTGGCAGACCCAGGAGGCGGCAGGCAGGTGGGTGTGTGACAGCACAGGGCCCGGCTGCCTCTGGAGGAGACCCTGTGCTCCCGTGGGAGCGGCGTGGCCCCGGGGCCTGTCCCTCAGCAGCAGAGCCGAGCACCTGCTACTGCAAAGGAGACGCTGGACATGGAAGCTTTATTTCTGAACCTCACACTGACACAGGCAGGGGAGGCTGTGTGCGCGCAGAGGGGGACCTCCGGGCTAGGCCAGGCTGCAGCCCCACGGAGCGGCCCCCAGGGCGGCCCAGAGCCTTTGACAAATGAGGTTTACATTCTGTAGGTTATTTTGGAGCTTACATTGTAGTTTTCCAGAAATTAAAAGCACTTGGATTTTTTAAGTACCTGGTGAGGTCATCAGGTAAATTAAAGGACTTTTGAAAAATTCCCATTTCTGATCCTTGCTAATATCTGACAGATGCCATCAAGAATAAGTGTTAAGGTATAAAAATATTATATATGTATATATAAAATGGCAACAAGACTAAACCACGTTTCTAAAGCAAATGTACTGAGCCAGAGGACACGGCACAGTTTTAAGTTAAATGCATTTGTAATCCTGGCATCACCTCCCACTCAGGGAAAAAATAGTTTAAATAACTTAAAGTCGGGATGACATTTACTGTTTAGGAATTTGAGAGGGTGGAACATACCAGCACGTCGTTGTGGCTCACGGATGTCCTTCCCTGAAGCCAGCTCAGTTCATTTGGTTTCAAAAAGGAGCTTGGGTTTTGCAGACCAACAAAAAAGTGGTGAGAATATTTGTATCAATTATATAAAAAACAAAAAAAGGCATAACACCAAGAAAAAGGTTTCGATGCCATCAAAAATACGATACAAAACCAAAGTGCTCAAATTGAAGGAGCAGTAAAATTGCCCAGAACATATAAAAGCTTTAAATATAAGTTTAGTATATACAAAAACCGGTCAGGAGAATTTTAGATTCAGTTGCAGCAAAGACCTGGAGACACACAGGAGCCGCTGCCCTGGCCCAGCGGTGGGGGCTCAGCGCCGCCCACTTCCCTGGTCCGGAGCCTCAGGTGCAGGAGAGGCTTGTAGAGGAACCAAACGAGAAGGGCGTGTCCATGGCGGCCAGGTTTTCACCACGAGTACTCACTCAGGGAAGGCTCCCTCAGTCCTCCACGTTTCCCCTAAGGGCCGAGCTGCAGGTGTTTGCGGTTTCACATGCCAGTGCGAGCGCGAAGCGTCTTCAGGTTTCCCACTGCTCCCTGCCAAGTGAGTGACGGCCCTGTAGGCCCGAGGCTCCACAGCCGAACCCTACCTTGGATACACGGCCGGGCCCGGTCAGCCTAGATCTCTGGACACCAGCTCGGCAGCAGCGCCAGCTGGAGCGCTGCGAGTGCAGAGGCTTCCACAGCGGCACCAGGACCTTCCTTCGGCCGAAGATGCGGGGCAGAGGCTCCTCGGGCACTAACCCACCCTGCTCTCCGGCTGCCACGTTCCCCGTGTTCCAAGGCTTCGAGACTCAGGCAGAGATGGTGCCAAAGGGGAAGCTCCAGGTGAGCAGCCGAACCAGAACCGGGCAGGGAGCCCCGTGCCTGCATGGCCACGGCTCTGGGCTCGGGAGGCTGGGGTCGGGGCAGGGGCTCATGCTCGCTGCCACTGGACTAACCTCGCCTACAGGCTGAGAAGCACCTGGGCACACGGCTCTCCTCTCCCTGCTCCCCGGGGCCTTTTCCTGCCCTTGGCGCCGGGAGCCAGAGCCTCACGCCACGGTGAGCACACAGAGGCCTCCCCGCGCACCGGGAGCAGCAGGCTGGCCCACAGGCTGGAGTCGGGTTAGAACATTGAAACAGAAAACTTATTTGGGACCATTTTTGATCTAAATTCTTTACAAATTGGCCAAAACCCGTGCAGTGTCCACTCCCTGCAGAAGCAGGGGTGGGTCAAAACTTAAAACATGTGGCGGCTACTCGGGACCTAGGACACTGCACAGGCCCTTCTGTGACAGCCCATGGGACAACCAGGCAAGGCAGGGTGACCCGCTGAGCAAACCAAACATCTCATTTACAAAGTTTAAACCTGTCTTGCAACTTTAACCTTTTCTGAAAACATTAAAAACAATCTACCAAATCTCAAGTTTGAAAGTTTATCCTGTTAGTTCTGGCCTCTTTCATATGCAAAAATAATTATTTTTCTTCAAGTACATCAGAGTAGAAAAGGAAGTCCGATTTACTCAGTCCAGTGTGTTAAACTAGTACTCCATGGACCAGCACTCAGTGCCTGCCTCACGTCAGCCCCACCTCCGGAGCCTGGGTCCGGGACCTGGCCCTGGCACAGCTGCGCCCGCAGGCCCTGGGTCAGTCTTTGCTAACAACTGGTTCACTTGATTCCTAGATAAGGAGGCTATTGGCTTAAATAAACAGGATGTTCCACTGAACACATTTCTCTATTTCTAGCTTACCTAAAATGTTATCAATGGTATCTTCTGGTTTTGAACAAGGCTAAGAAAAACACCCTCCGTGTATAGATTTGACTGCTTCTGGAATATTCTGAAATGAGCACTGTGACTTAACAGCTCATTTGCAAGAGAAATAACCAATTTGTAATTTTGCAAATTTGGAAAAAAGTGGGCTATAACACTGTCCTTCTAAACGACAGGGGTGAACCTGCTCTCTAAAGAGACCCTGTCCCTGTGGTCTGTAGATTTGGCTCGTTTCTGTCAAATGTGAAAGAGCAGCCAAACTTGATTTTAAAGTCAGGTTCAAGAAGGTATGAACTAGACAGATAAGCCATCAGCTGGTTAATTCTTCCTCTAGAATTTGAGACACTAGAAAAGGGTCATTGGAACGTTTCTGAAACGACCACATACATGAAGAGGACATAGACCAAATGGAGCCTTACCCATGGGAACGGCCGGAAGAGGCAGGCTTGCAAGGTTCAAGTTCAAAAAATAGTCATCCAGGACGCTCCTGTGTTTCCATTCCAATAAAGTCTCTCGCAAAACAGGATTCGGAAGAGAACAGGAAGCCTTCGCTTTACTCCCAACCATTGTCTTTGATCATGTGGGCAAGCTCAATGATAAATTTCCCTTCCTTATATTTCTGACTGCTTTCAAAGGCGTGTTCCTTGGGGAAAAAGTAGAAACAGAAGGTTTCAGGAAAGACTCTGTTTCATTCTCAACTTCGCTGCACTCTGAGCAGAGAAAGTAAGTAAGTGTATGGTAGCACGTCTCCCCAGACGTCCCCTGCACGGGCTCATGGCTGGGGTCTGTCTCGGTGACAAGCCCATTGAGGGCAGCGCAGGGCTGCTGTTCCTGTGGCATCAGGTTACAGTTAAACTTGTAGGGAAACAGGAATTCCGATTTGTTACTGAGCACCTGTCACGTGCAGGGCAATTTGGGAGGAGGGAGAGGAGGGAGATGCTCCTTCCAGGGACTCCAGGTGAGAGGAGGGTGCAGGTGACTGCACTGGGAGCCCGGGCATAGTTCAGAGATGCTGTAGGGAGTGAAGGCCCTTTGTTGGGGGCCGGGGTGGTCAGGGATGGAATGGGCCAAGCAGGGGGAAGGACAGGGGAATGTGCAGGCCTCACTAAGCTCGCCTCTGTGCTGGGCACTGTGTCTCCTCATATCTGACGGGGACTTGGGACACAGCAACGATCGAGAATTCCAGGAGGGAGAGCCGGGCCCTGACGAAGAAAACCAGAATGGCATGCAGGAGGCAGCCGATCAGTCATTCTCATCATTGATGCTTCTACCTCTCTCTTCCTCTCCCCTTCTCTCTGAAAGCAATAAAAACATTTTAAAAAATGAACTCTTGCCCTGACCGGTTTGGCTCAGTGGATGGAGCGTCGGCCTGCGGACTGAGGGGTCCCAGGTTCAGTTCTGGTCGCGGGCATGTGCCTTGGTTGTGGGCACATCCCCGGTGGGGGGTGTGCAGGAGGCAACTGATCGGTGTTTCTCTCTCATCGATGTTTCTGGCTCTCTGTTCCTCTCCCCCCGTCTCTGTGGAGAATCAATAAAACATATTAAAAAAAAAATGAACTCTTGCCCGGCCAGCATGGCTCAGTGGTTAAGCATCGACCTATGAACCAGGAGGTCATGGTTTGATTCCGGGTCAGGGCACATGCCCGGGTTGCGGGCTTGATCCCCAGTAGGGGGCATTCAGGAGGCAGCCGATCAATGATTCTAATCATTGATGTTTCTCTCTCTCCCTCTCTGAAATCAATAAAAATATATATTTAAAAGAAAAATGAACTGCCCTGACCTGTTTGGTGCAGTGGATAGAGCGTCTGCCTGCAGACTGAAGGGTCCCGGGTTCGATTCCGGTCAAGGGCATGTACTTTGGCTGCAGGCGCATCCCCGGTGCGGGGTGTGCAGGAGGCAGCTGATTGATGTTTTTCTCTCATCGATGTTTCTAACTCTCTATCCTCCCTTTCTCTCTGTAAAAAATCAAAAAAATATTTAAAAAAAAAAAAAAAAAAGAAAGAAAAATGAACTCTGATAGGATTATACTTCCGGGGGAGATCTACGTATTTGCAAATTTTGTTTCCATTTGTAGATGTTTTATTTATCGCAGTACATCTGTGTTCTCTGGAATGTCACTCACGTATTTCCACCCGAGCGTGGTTTTGCAGTTCTCACAGTAGATGTCTGCGACGGCGTGCAGGCCGGTGAGAAGGACCCTCTCCTCGGCAGGGCCGCAGCCCACGTTCACCCTGCAGGAGGGAGGAGCCGGCGCTGGAGACCTGCCCCCTGAGGGCCTTCCCACCCCCAGAGGGGCCACCACCCTGGGTGGTGATTTCTTGAGGCAGTTGGTTACCAGACAGGCAGCAGCGTTCCGTAACTGCCCGCCTCCCCCAGCCCTGCCCACCACCACCTCTCAGGAGAAGGCACCACCTTCTGTCTCCCCAGGACG